GCGATCCGCGATCGTCTGCGATCATATGGAAACCAGCCTTAATTACGTTTACGGCAAACGGCTAACTGCTGTTTGAGGTTAAACGTTTGCTGTTCCGACGTTATAGTTGATTTGGATTGGAGTAAATTGAAGCTCATAGAAATCATCTTGTCAATGCACTGGAAATTGTCAAAATAACGCCAAGCATTCAACTAAGCCGCCGCCATATCGAATTTCCACTGAGAATCAAACAAATCAAGGACAAAAGGCTAGGCAATTGCTTGTTTCCCCCAAAAACATGACCAATTTGTAGGAAAAGGGTTACTTTATTTGACTTCAGCATTTGTACGTGGCATAAAATAAAACTCAAGGCAATAGGTACAGTGGCGGATTTAGAGGAGGGGCCCAGGGGGCCCCCCTTAATTGGGTAAAAAAAGAGGATATGACAGAAGGAAGAAAAGCCGACAGGGTAAGTAAAACAATACCGGCTTTACCCCCGCCCCTGTCCTCCCTCAAATTAGCTCAAGGTCTGGATCCGCCACTGAGGTAAATGCCTTACGTGAAAACCCACCTCTTGACGTTCAAAACGCGAGTCGATAACCTCTTACGTGACGTCTGGCTCTGGTCACATGACCCCTCGCGGTTAGCAGTTCGCGGTAATCGTGCGGGATTAAAAGCCTCTAATGTCCTACTGATGAAGACCGGCTAGCTTATTGAGCTTCAGAATACCAAAAACACTTTGATCAAAGTAATGCGTGATCGTAAATCTTAATGTTATTAACGTCATGGCCCATGCCAGCTAGATTCTTGATGTTCTTTATCTGAATTTTTTTCCTCAATAAGCTGTCGCGTAGACTCCATGAATAACAGACTCAGTCCATAGTATTCCACCTGAAAATGATCCGCATGTTGCAGAATATTTAATTTAATTTGTATTTTTTAATCTTGACACTAGATATTCCACAGAGATGGGAAAGGCAGTTGCGTAGATCTAGAGTGAAAAGATTCGAAGAAGGTCAGTATATATCAATGTTATTATCGAACGAGCAGTTGGAATTAGTCGAGTTTATATTCTTTTGCAAGTTTATGGACTAAGCTAAACTTCAGTGAAAATGATCTGATTGTGTCATTAAGATCGAGATACAATCCACTTAAGCTAGATAAATTTATTTTGTCCTGGTTGTCTGTATTCGTTGTGGTGTTAAAGGAGAAATGTTCCCTTACTTGAGAAGTTCTTTTGGAAATCCAGGTTTATCATTGGTTCTCCCATCGTTGTCTATTTGACAAATAATGAACACTTATTTCTCGAATGCGCCTGTTTCATAGCTGATGTGAGCTTTCAGAGAGTTACAGTGTTCACCCCGATGATCGTTTTTGTGCTTTTTAGGTGGTATCTGTGAAGGCTGCGCTCAAATGGTGGCCAATGAGTGCTTTTGTTATCAGATAACATACTGTGGGGTCGAGGGATGCGTAGACACTGGCTCATGTAACAAATCCAACTGCCAGAGGCTGCCTTAGAAAGAAAGGTATACTTAATATACAAACAGTTAGCTCTTAGACTTGAGCTGCTGGTAGTCTTCCTCGTAGCCATTTTTGGAGATGTCACGCAACGCTCCTCACAGAGAGAGGGAGCGTTGTGTGATATCCCAAAATAGGGGAGCTACTGGTGGTCGAAAGTAATCTGTGCTTGCTTTTGTTGTGCATTTAATTCTTGAGTTCTGTGATTGGTTTAGAATACTCGGGTGCAACCTTTATAGACCCTGATGAAAACAAAGACATTGCTCTCAGCCAATCAGCAACAATAACAAATCTTATTCACCGTGAAGTTTCCCGTGCTACCAACCGGTTGCAAACTTTCACTGAAATCTCTGATCGTCTCATTCCTGGAGTCCTTCGGTTTTCCTCAAGATGATCAATAGAATTTTGTTGCACTTGCCCCTAGGGATCTCTAATTTGGAAAAAAATGTACAAAACTGTAAACATCAAACACATGTGAATCTAAATATCTGTAATTTCCATCCAAATACAAAAAATAACGTTACGTTCATTAGGGGCGCGTTGATTGATATTTGATTAGATTTTGATGATTGTTATGGGCGCTTCGTCCACACTACGCCAGAAGAATTTGAAAACGGAGGTTTCTTTTTGAGAATGCATCAAATGTTTCCTTTCTACACTATCTAGTCTATCTACGCCGGAGGAATTTAAAAACGCAACAGTTATCAGGTCATTTTGGATTTGCGTTTGAGGTAAAATCGGTCAGGAAAATCACATGATTATCGTGACGCCATCTTTTACGAAAAGCTCCGTTTTCGTGACAGATTAGTGTGGATGGTAGGCCTAACCGTAGGAAAAAAAAGCTAGGTTTTCAAGTTCCTCCGACGTAGTGTGGACTCTGCCTTAGAAGTCAAGACTGAAGCGATCATTTTAACCACGTTTTTCTCCCTTTTGACGTCTCTTTTTCAGGTACAGAAAGTGTCCTATATTGAGACGCCTTCATTTCCTTGGACGAGCTGCACGTCGTTAAAGAAAGGCTTACGTTTCGCTCGACTTTCTTAGTATAGTTAAGCACAATTTTAACAACCGTAATGACTCTAGATGTAGAAGTAGAATAATAAAAGCTTTAGTTTCATTGCAGTCAAGGTCTTTTTTAAAATTACTGGATTAAGTTATTAAACTAGCTAATAACACTTACACTCAGGGAGACAACCGGCCCTTGCTCGAATCGCACGCAATTGATATCGTAAGCTTATCACTTTCATATTAATTTTATATTCATCCAATCCCTGTCACACATGCATGAACTAAAATGCTGAACAGACATCGGAAGAAGATTAAAAAAACAATACTAAGTATTATGCTCATTTGTTGCTAATACGCATATCAACCCGTTTCATTCTGTTGTTCTTTTAGTTATACTCAAACTTTAAACGAGTAGTGGATATGGTCTTTTGAGTTCCCGCATTACGATCATACCCATGTAATAGAGCCTTTCTCTTAAAAAAACTGTGACCCACGAACTGCTTTGCAATTTGCCACACAGTGTTACAACCCCTATGTTACCATTTCACAACCCTCACCACCTCTCCCACCTAATTTGAGACTGATATTTCTGCAAAACGTCGGCTTCAGTATCTGCTACACACCGATATAAACTGATGTAAATTTGAAAAAAGGTGAGCCGACGTTTTTCAAATTTACCCAAATGAAATCCATTTTAATCCTCTCCAGTTTTGTCCATCCATGTCCATTCTTGGCTTTCCTGTGTTTTGTTTGAGATCTTCTATAGTTTTAAGCCGTTTTTGTGATATTTTAGTTAATTCTCTGACCATTTATCAGTGCTGAAATTGCCTAAAATTGCGTGACCCAGCCCAAGTTATGAGAAATAATGAACGAGAAAATTTTATATGCCCAAATGCCCATAAAAATTAAAGACATTATACGTTTTGTTTAAGACGTAGTCATCATTCTGGTGTTCATAAGACACTTTATTTAGTTCTTTTATAAACAAGGCAATCAGTCCTTAAAAGTCAATAAACTCAGTTTAGACAATTTATGCATCCATGAAGTCTTCTTGACATCTGCTATTATTTGAAGGGTTAATCCCGCCGTTCTAATTTCAGTAACATATCAGTTTTGTGGAAAAAGGTTTGTGCGAATTCACTCACCTAATTAGGTATATGGTGTTAAAAGCATGTCACTTCATCTTTGCCATACATTTTCACTGATTTTCAAATTGTTGAGATAAAAGTTACGGAAATTAGCGACAAACGAATTCGGAAGGATATAAAAGATGCATAAAAACTGAGAGTTGGAGATTACCCGTCAACTCCGTACTCTAGTTACTTGATACTGTGAGGTGCAACTTAACATTGAGACATATTGCAATCACGTCGGGCTTTCACTGAAAAAGGTTTACCAGATATTGACCAATTTCCTTGCTGCCTCTAATCGTTCTTGGAAATGCTTGCTGTGAACAAAGCGAAAAATGAAAGAGCCGTTGACGCTCTAGTGCTAAAATCTTTGGCGGCAAAATTTGCATTAATTAGGTTTCCACTGCTAACTTTTGATAGCCTTCATATAGATATCTACAGCAGGATATGCAGTGCATAGATAAGGCTACACTTAGGATAACGAGAGGTAAAGGTGCGTTTTGAACATTGCACGTGTTGTTGCGCATAGAAACAGAAGAAAATACTTCTCGGTTTAAACAATGGAATATTTTGATGAGCTGTATATTCCATACCTCTCGTAATTCTAAGCTGTATAGCTGTGTCTATACACTGCATATCCTGTTTTAGATATATCTGTAAAGGATATCAAAAGTTAGCAGTGGATACCTAATTAAGGCAAATTTTGGCGCCAAAGTCGTTCGCCCTAGAGCGCTGACCGACAGCTCTTTCAATTATTAGCTATTTTTGTTTTGCTCGCAACAAGTATTTCTAAGAACGAGCTAGAGGCAGCAAGAAAATTGGTAAATATCTGGACAACCGTTTTCAGTGAAAGCCCGAATGCAACGTGTCAATGTCAAGTAGTGACTTGCAACAGGGAATAAACTACAGTAGTTTTCTCCTACTTATCTCAGTTTGTGCTTCGATTACTACGATTATCACTTGAGTAAGGCACGACGGACGTTTGGTGACTAAGTTTTGGCCTTAAAATAACGGTGTTGTCATGGGCAACTTACCTCGTTTCCATTGGTAACAATATCAACAGCCGTGCGTCGCCTGACCTGTCGCGTCGCCTCAAATTTCGCGCGCTTTGCAGCAAACGACTTCAAAGGCCGACAAGTTGTCAATGGAAACGGAGCCAGTTGCCCGTGACAACAACACGAAACCTGGTGACCAAAGTTTAGCCTCTCTTTACTCAACTAATAATCGTAGTAGCCATTCGAATTTGTTTGTCGCTAATGGTTTGTGCACGCGGTTTGTGCATGGCAGATATTGAAGCAAATTTTGAAATGTTGGTCTCTCTCGAGTATATCAAATTGGGAAGGAGTAACATAAGGGTTGTAACACTGTGGGACAAATTCTAAAAGAGTTGGTGGGTCACAATTTTCTTTAGGAAAAGGACCCTTAACAAGGGTGTGATCATAATGCGAGAACTCGCAAGGCTTACTCATTTAAAGTTTGAGTTCACCTTGTCTGCGAAAAAAGAAATTAAAAATTTTACATTCTATGTACAACAATGGCACGGGTCGATACGTGTATTAGCAACAAATGAGCGTAATACTTTGTATTGTTTTGTAACTCTTCTTTTGATGTCTATATTGATCGTTTTACTTTATAACATGTGACAGGGAATGGATAAATATGAAATGAATATAAAAGTGGTAAACTTATTATATCTATTTAGTGAAATTCGTACAAGGGCGTTGTTTCCCTGTTTGCAAGTGTCAGCTAGTTACTAACTTAATTAATCCAAGATTTTTAAAATGAAGACTTTGATTGCAATGAAGGCTTTTACTGTTCTATTTGTGCATTAAGAGTCATAAAAACACAACACTTTACTATGGAGTAAAACACAGTTAAAAAAGGTTTAAATTTCGTTTATAGCGATTTTTACAGTTGTCAGTTAAAAATGTGCTAAACTATAATAAGAAAGTCGAGCGTGACTTAAGCGTTTCTATAACAACGTACAGCTCGTCCGAGGTAATGGGTGCGTCTCAATATATCACGCATTTCTGTGCCTGAAAGAAAGAAGTCAAGAGCGAGAAAAACGTCATTAAAATGACTGCTTAAGTCTTTACGACTTATAACTGTTAAACTCATCAAAATCATCAAAATCCAGTCAAATGAAAGTTTTATTTCTTTCAGCCATGTCTGCAAGTGAACTAGCTAGGTGTAGCTAAGCACATTGACCACCATAAAACAACAACATCTAAACTTTTTTTGCACACTTTTCCGAATGAGAGATTTCTTGTAGGAAATGAAGTTAACTTTTACGGATCATCCTGAGACAAACCAAAGGAATCATATCTGGCCAATCACAACATTCAAAATTCAGCAGGAATCAGCTCATTTTGCAAATGTTTTGGTGCTGATTGGCTGAGAGCCATGTATTTGTTTTCATCAGGGTTTATATAGGTTGCACGCGAGTATTTTAAACCAATGACAGAACTCATGAATGAAGTACAAAACAAAAGCAAACACACATTTAGTTTCGACCACCAGTACATGTAGCTCAAGTCTGAAAGCTAAACGTTTGTATATTAAGTATACCTTGTATTCTAACGTAGACTCTGGCAGTTAGATCTGTTACACGAACCAATGTCTGCGCATCCCATTCCACGACAGTATGTTATCTGATAACAAAAGCACTCATTGGCCACCATTTGAGCACAGCCTTCACAGATACCCCCTGACATGGCAAGCACAAAAAATAAGCATCGGGGTGAACATTGTAACTCTCTGAAAGCTCACATTGAAACAGCCACGTACGAAAAAAGATATTATATTATATAATGATAGACACTTAATAAAAGGTATCCCTGTTTATAAGATATTTAAGATAGTAGGCTCGCTCTAATTGGTCTATAGGCGTTTAGATGAGAGTATGTAGACACGGTTTTTGAGAAATGTTTTATAAAAACACTGAAGGACCTTTTCTGCGTTTACAGAGCGTCGTCTAAACACTCTGAGGGTTGGGAGAATTCTCGAAAGTTATCTAAACCCTCCACTGCGTCTAGGGTTTGTATAACTAGTTGTCTCGAATTCTTCCAACTTTCCTCGTGTTTAGATGAGGCTGCGTAAACACGGAAAAAGTCTTTTATTCCTTTTGTTTCGCCAAAAATTAAGAGTACCTTTTATCTTGAGGAGCAATGCTGGCTCGATGGGGTTTTATCAGGTCTGTCAGGGATAACTATTACTCTACTACAACGTTCTATCACGAATGCTGTTCTCTTATTGGTTACGGTATATAAATATGTCAAATTATTCTCGCATTTTCATTGATTCCAGTGTATGATCGATTGGAGGGTAGACGTTTTCTGAAGGCTGGCACGTGCGAAAAAAGAGATTATATTATTTGTTTTAAAATAGACAACGATGGGAGAGCCCATAAGCATCTTGGATTTTCAACAGAATTTCTCAACATGCTTCACCATTGACATTTCTCCTTTAACACTACAAACAGACAATCAGGATAAAACAAAATTATCTAGGCGGCTTAACTTCATTGTATATCTGATCACAATTATTTTCATAGCAATTCGGCTTGGTCCAAAAAAAAAATAATGCAAAAAAATAACTCGATCAATCCCAACACGGACCTCTCGCTCATTCAATAACATTGATATATACTGACCTTCTTCAAATCTTTTAAATAAAGAACCACGCAACTCCCTTGCCCTTCCCTGTTGAGTATCTAGTGTCAAGATTAAAAAAAAATGTCAACGTAGACATTTTGTAACATCAAGATCATTTTTAGGTTGAATACTAACCTACTGTAAGTTACCGACCGAGTTTTTTTTATGGAGTCTACGCGGAAGCTTTTTGAGGGAAACATTCGGACAAAGAACATCAGAAATCAAGCTGACATGAGCTATGGCGCTAGTAAGCTGAAAGTTTACGATCAGGCATTGCTTTGATCAAGTGTTGTTTGGTATTCTAAAACTCACTACACGCTTCCCGCGAACTACTAACCGCTAGGGGTCACGTGACCAGAGCCAGACGTCACGTTTGAGGTTTCGACTTGCTTTTTGAACGTCAAGGGGCAGGTTTTCACGGAAGTCTTTTACTTCAAATAATCCGTAACTGAGGTACCAAGATCCTGTTTTGTGGGTGTGCCTTGAAATGTTTTTCCACAAGAGGTACCAATTCTAAAACAACCATGAACTGACACTTCATTAGCGATAAAGAAGATTGCATCGAATACCTTCTACTTGTAAAATTGTTTGTAAAATGTCTTTTGTCATACTTTTTTGGAATCAATACCTTAAAAGGTACCGCAAAAGCTCTCGCTGTGGAACTTGTCAGGCCAAACAGCTTAAGAATTACCAAAACCACTTTTTTAACCCCTGAAAGGGACGACGAGCGCCCCCGTCCTTTTTAAATTGGAGTCATCCGCGGGGCATCTAACCTAAAACCGGAGTTAGACGTTTGCAGAAAACTTAATTAAGTAGCAGTAATAAATTAAGTAGTGCCAATTATTTTGAATGGTATTAAGCAGCTTTTGAAAACGGAAAAGAACAGATAATTTGTTTGGAGCTAAGAGATTATCAAGGTAATCTCTTGTTGGAACGTATTATTTAAAATACTCCGTACAATTGGCTGTAAGAATATTTCTGGTGAGGTGAGCCAACAATGGGCAAATAGAATTTGCGCGCGGAATTCTGGTGTCAAAACTTCTCAGAAGAGTCAGTAGCAAATTCTAAGCTCGGAATTTGGTATCCAGAGGAATTAAATGTCACAAATGATCAGCGATCACAAGAGAGAGAGAGAGTCGCTAAGTGTATAGCAAGTTAACGCCAGCACAGCTCTCTAATTCTGACGTAAAACGATTCAAGATTAATTATCAAAGATTTGGCGCCCTTTTAAACACATTTCGATGCACTATTGGGTTACACTTATTCTCAAAAGGTTAACAAAAAAAATCGTGAAGGAACAACGAGTCCATAAGAACGGGTCTGTTTCGCAAATGTCCGGGCTAACCTAAAATTTACACAAGCTTATTCAATGGTCAAAAATTCATCTATATACACATAACTGAAAAGCGCGCAAATCTGCAAGTGCCTACTTGACAGTCACGTTTACTGACTTAGGGAACTTTTCCCCTAGCCTTAAAAATGCAATATTGGAAAATACTCTTATTTTGATCATTAGAACAGAATGAAAATCGCCAAATGATCTTGACATTTGATCAAATACCTATCAGAAATAATCGTACACCAGGTATAGATTACATTAGCTAATTATGAAGACACAACTGAAAAGCGCGCAAATCTGCTAACTACAAAGTTACTTTAACTGACTAAAGAACTTATAAACTAGCCTTAAAAAGCGATATAGTGGAAATATATTTCTATTTTGATCATGAGAACTAGAATGAAAATCGATGAAATTTTTCTTTCCAAATGATCTTGACGTTTGATCAAATACCTGTCCGAAATGATCGCACACAAGGCTTACATGTCTTTCTCGCACCAATTAATAAAAGCTGATTCAAAAAAGTGTTCTCACCCTCCACTCGACGTTGAAATGGAAATTGCGCTGCTGAACAGACTACAACAAGAAGAACTAGCAAAATTACACAGGTATTCTTCATCTTCGTTAGCTTTACAAACAGTTGATCTCAGGACTTGAACAAGCAGCCAAGCTGAGATGTTTTGTTCACGGATTTATCTTTCAACTGAACGCGCTTTCTATTGAGTCTCTAACTAATACGATTATTTCGTACAATAGAACAATACATTATAGAATATTAATAAAAACTGGCTCACTGGATAATGCAATTCAAGAGCTTTCATTGGCTTAGCCATCATGGTATCTGAGCCATTACGGCCATACTCTTCATATCTGGAAGCGTATGTAAGCGTAATTTTTGTTGGCGTTTTTACTTTCATTTTGGTTTGGTTTGCTATATTTTGGAAACAAACAATTATTCCACGCGCTTGTTGGATATCAGATGATTATAGCCAATCTCGGTGCTGCGCAATCGTTGGCTATCTACCATCTCATATCCAACGCGCGCTCGTGGAATAAGTGTTAATTACAGAATATTTGCGCGCGAATTATAGACCGTAATGAAAGGCGCCAAATTTCGACCTCCTGTTTTTCTTGACCTGCTTAATTTTACCGCAGATCGCACACTGCATACAAAGAAGACATTTTTGATTGATAACTTTGTTTAGCCAGACCTGTTTTCTTTGAAAATAAAACTGTGGAACGCCCCTTGTTTTCAGTTGACTTACTCCATGCAAAGCTTTAGTTTATCGGCAATGTGACACACAAGATTAATTTGTATACTTAAGGCCAAAGTTAAGATAAAAGAATTTACCGAAGTCGAAATATGGGAGTGTATGATTTTTGTTTACATTGAATTTGTATATTTGAGTGTGTGTTTGTCTTCTAAGCTAGGCTACATTGCGAAGGTTAATTACTTCAGCCTTGATAAGTGCTTCACTCAATACGATAAAGTGCCATAAGGTGCTAAAAATTAATTGCTTGGCTTAATTAGCACAACAGCGGTATAATTTTAAAACGCTAACTAATTAAGTGTGCTACAGCTAAGTGTTTCACAGGCTAAAAAATTCCGGACATTGAAGCAGACAGCAAGAATTTGCGCAAGTCCACAAAGTATTAAATTTTTCTATCCGCCAGGTCCAATAATTATCCTCAAAACTTGCTTTTATGTCCATTACTTTACATTTAACTGATTATCGCCTTTTTGATAAGTATATTTTGTTTAAATATGATTTTTGAAGACCAGAAGGTTCAATACAAGATGGCGGGTTGAGGCAGAGTCTTGGCCAGTTGGACACTAAATCCGTTTTTTGCGGAAGGCTTGTGTGACTTTATTAGATATATTACTAGCCCCTTGAGCTGACAGGTAAATCAAATTCTGCGCTGTGATTGGTTACCAAAGCGGGCAAGATGGCACTGCAGTGGAAGCTCTCTTAACGGACACTCTCGTAAGCGGACAGCACTACTAACGACCGCCTTCACAAAATCCAGTTTGAATTCCCATACAGACTCTGCATTTACTCATTCCCGTAAGCGGCCGTGGACAATTGGTGGGCTTACGATCTAGACCTTTGCTTTTAAGCTCCCGTAAGCTGACACTTGAAAGGAATCGAGCCTGACTTTTGAAAGATACTCATAAACATTTGTAAGCTGTATCATTGCTTTTTGTTAAAGTGAAACTGGTAATGCTAATGTCACTGCTGGCTGCAATTCTGATTTGTTCTTTAATCACTAAGGGCCAATCATAGTACTGCAGTATACAGTACTGTGTACATGCGGTGATAGCCATTATCGCGGCACTGTACAAGGCAATAAAACAGAACAAAAATAATAAAAGAATTTGGTGGTATTTTTGAAATTCCCGATATAACGGTTTATTGTTAGCTGTTCGAGCTCCCTTAGGCGGCTATTTTTCCCTTACAAATCCGAGTGGCCGCTTACAAGAACTCTCCTAGTAAGCGGCCAGTGCCTTGATGTCCGCTTACAAGGGCTTCCACTGTATCTTGACCGCTCTGGATTACACTCTGTGCTCTTTATCCCATATGACAATAAATCCTTTATTAACCAAGCTTGTTCGGTCAATAATAGCTTCGTTCTTTTTTTTTGGTTTTAGTTTGAAAACAGCAGACAACTAATTGTTTTAGCCGCTAAGCGCGTCACTAACTTCTAAGTACTTTGTTACCGACTAATTAAATGAATTCTTCAAATACTTCTCATATCAGCCTACGGTAGCTATTGCTCCAGTGCCGGTTTAAACAACAGAGAATTTTGATATACTGTATGTTCCAATGCACTGGACCAATAACTACATAAGCTGAAATGGGTGATATAGGAAGTATTTTAAGAATTCATTTAGCAACAAAGTACTTTAGTTAGTGACCCACTTAGTGATTAAAGCAATTGCTTGTCGGTTTTTTTTTTCAAACTGACCGCGGGTTGACAGTGACCCAGAATAGATGTGAATATAGATAACCAAAAGAACTTGAAGTTCGAACAGACGATTAACCATTGGTCTCATGAAATTAAAAATCGTTTTCCCAAAACAAAGGAACAACAAAGTCTTCAAGTGGAAAACTGTTAGGCGTGCGCTGATGGCTGACAACCGTAAACTTTGAATTCAATTCTGCGAATAGATAAGAATACAAAAGAAAGATTTGGCGCCAAATATGTCCAAGACTCGCCTCGCCTTGACTCGACTGCAACTCGCCATCTTGTTATGAACCTTCAGGTCTACAAGAACCATATTTGTACAAAATACAGTATATCAATAAGGTGATAATCGGTTTAAAATAAAGAAACGGACAGAAAAACAATTTTTGAAGATAATCGATGGACCTGTTATACCGAAGCAAATTACTGAATAATTTGTGGTCTTGTCTGCTTCAATGTCCGAAATTTTTTAGTCTGGGAATGTGAGGCACCGGGCATGAGCCTGGGGAGCGCTTAGTTGAATGATACTTAATTAGTTGGCGTTTATCATTCCGTTATTGCACTAATTAAGCCGAGCATTTAGTATTTAGCACCAAATGGCTCTTTATAGTAATTAAGTGAAACGCTTATTGTGATTGACTTTGGCCTAAGGTACATTAATCTTGCCTGTCGCATTAACGACTAATGAAAAATTTGCACGGAGAAAGTCAGCTGAAAACAAGGGGTGTTCTACAGTTTTCTTTTCGAAGAAAACAGCATCGGCTTAGCAAAGTTATCAATCAGAAAAGGTTTATTCGTATGCAAATTAATGCACACCAGGTCAAGCAAAACAGGAGGTCAAAATTTGGTGCTCTTACAATATGGTCTCTATTTCGTGCGCTCATACACCTAGGGAACATGGCATTAACAAAATATCTCTCTGCCTCCTAGGCCAAATCATTTTATTTTCAAGCTATGGTAACTGCATGAGAACATACTTATTAACTGAACTAAAGAAAGCATATGTAGTAATTCACAAGTGAAGTCAATTGGGAAAAAGCGCACTGTAAATAAGTAAATAAATGAGTTCGGATTAGTTGCATTGTTGGGTGGAAATAACTGCAACATAATCGTTATGGCTGTAAAGCAAAGAATTGTAAAGAATGCAGCGGTATTTTTAATTTTTCATGCATTAAATCAAGGATTCATTTGCGCGTCAGAACAAATATCCGTGTAGTATACTTTTGTACCCTGCAGAAATATCTGTAGACTATAACAGCTGTGTCCGGTCTTGTGTGTTAATTACTGGTATGTAATAAGCGTCTAAGAGGGTCTAAATGACAGCTGTCATTTTAAATTTCAAGCCATTTGACTGTTAAACGTTTAGACGTTTGTTAGTGTTACGTAAGGATCTTGGGGTTAAGGACCTCTTAGTTATATGGTGAGGGATCATTTTTTAGTTGCTGGGTAGCTCGAACATCCTTTAGTACCAGTTTAACTTAGTAAAGCAGTTATGTTTTGAGCACCTATCCCACTTTATAAGAATTAAGTCAAGCCTCAGGGAGATTAAAGCAATTAATTTTTGGTTTAGACGAGGTATTCAATCCAAAACACATCATTCGTATGCATTGTACGCTTTCTAGAAGGCATGCTAAATATTGATTTAAATTTGTTTGAGGTACTTAACGATAAATGGTAAAAAATGTTGTTCTGCCGATAAGTTATTCCCAGTGAAACCAAGCCTGTGAGATAATTATGCCGGTCATTACTTCGCGCCGAAACGATGTTTTTGGAATATGGTATCAAAAAAAGTGTCAATGTCATATATTACTGTTGGAGAAATATTTTCAGCTCAATTTGAACGGAATAGGAAGGACATTTGGGGCCTACTGCGACAAGGCAACATAATGGAACAAACAATAGTTGCAGTCTACACACAGAAATGGCGGGATTTTCAGAATAATTTGGTTATAATTACTAGGGTAAAACAAAGAGTACTGTTCCACTCTCAGCATATATAAGCGACAACACTAGTATGAAGCTTCAGTTAGTACATCGACTGTTGCAAGAAGCATCGACCTCAGCTTGTCAGCTAATACCACTGAAGATTCAAGCAAATATCAACGCATCCCAAAGTCTACCAAGATGAAGCAAGCCTCCATCGCTTTGTTGTTTCTCTTTGTTGCTCTTTGCTCGGCCACGAGATTGCAGCGGCGAGGTGGGGCAGTTCTTTTTTAATTTAAACTAGTTTTCATTTGTTAAGCAGCACTTAAGAGTGCCGTCCACTGAGAATGACGTAGAGCGGTCGTATAGTGGTTTTGATTAACTCTTAGATAAAATGGAGAAAGATATTTATAGTTCGAGCGATCATCTGTAATTCTGTAGAAAAACTAGATGTGTTTAATTTTTTAAACTTAACAATTGAATCAAGTTAAGGCGATTGATAAAATTATTTTCTCGTTGTAATTAGTAATTGCTAATTCTTATTGGGTCAGATTTTGCGCGCGCTTTTGTAGTTTGGTTAAAACGACCTACAGATTCAAACGTTTTGCTAATATTTCAAGACAGTCTAAAAAATCCCGGGTCTTTTCTCTTCAATTCTTTGTCTCTAATTCTTTTTGGGATTTTCCAGGGTTAACTTAAGTCACGACTTCCCGATTGATAAATAGCCCGCCAAATCATAACTGAAGAATGCGAATAGTAATATTTTGAATTTGAGAAAGCTAAGAATGAGAAAAACACCAAAGATATAATAATAAACCATAAAGGATCAAGGATAGTCAAGCATGGAAATGATTGTCCCGGATTACAAACGACGAACTTAAAAAATTGAGGCTTAGCTTTTCAAGATGCACAAACCGCGAAGTAGCTCCTTAGAACTTTTTCTCTGGATTCAAATTACATGAAGTGGTAGTTGTTTCGGGCCTTGGTTTCCTAAACTATCACTCCACAGAAATTTCCAACTCAGGATCTAATTTTCGGTAGATAGCTTTTGTTCACTTTTCGACTTATCCGGGATCTCCCCCGTGTTGGCCAAATAACTAAGATATGTTCTAAACTGTGTACCATATTGTGTACCACCCTCCCTTCCCCTGGTCAGATCGTCAAGCGAATCTTCACCGGGGAGGAGAGAGGACTGAAGGCAGGAAAGTGACTGAAGGAAACTGTATGCTCCTCCAGATGAACACACACAAAAAACTAACTTTCCATTTGGATAGAGATTGCATTATCCTTCGACAATCTTTCACCTGCACTGACGTGCACTTTTCAGTTTTCTCATTAACCTGCATTTTTCAGTTTTCTCATAAGCGTGTATCCCTAACACCTTTATTCTGGGTTCGTTCTGCAGATGACTGTGCAGACTGTCGTGGTTTTCCGCCTGATTGCAGTTGTGAGGACTATCAAATTTGCAAGAGCCAGGGTTGTGACACTGGAGAATGCCAACCTGATTGCCCAGGTAGACAAATGCTTTATGACTTTTCTAACCCATTCTCCCTACTGTTCAAATGATATTTTATGCCCAGTTTTTTTTTTTTTCATTTTCATTACACTGCCGATGATTACAAAATTTTGTTATATTAAATGTGATTTATTAATCGTAAAATATTCTTAAAGATAAAATTGAAAATTTGAAATTAAGGCCCTGGGTGCTTCTTAAATAGGAGAATATGATGTTTTAATATTCGATAATTTAAGTGGAAGAAAGAATCAGCTTGTAAACTTGCATTTGTTACGTACTTTGTTGCTTGTTGATCTCGGAATCTTAACAGATATCTCCCTCGTCATCTTTATTTTCAGGAAAAAGAAGGAAGACGATGCTTGGGGAACTGTTGAAGAGAAAACGTAAGTTAAAATCATGTTCTCAAACCAAATCCGCGGTCGTCACCTCAAGGCTAAAGTAAATGTTATCCGGAGGTATAGGGAGCAAAAATAATCAACCGCGCTGCTCTGAATTCTTACTAACAATAATCTCTCGTTGATTTTACCCTTGATGGAGACTGCATTTCTAATCGATAGCTAAGACAGGAAGGGGATTTTAACATTTGCTCACCATGTGTATGACTTTCATCCGGTTTGTTTTTGGCAGTGAGATGAGATGTCCGCCGGGAAGGGTGGGGGGGGNGCGTGGAGGGGGCACGTTGTATATGCAAAACCTTTGTCAGGGTTGAAAGAGTTACTGAACTCTAGGTTAGTCTATTCTGGGAAGGGAAAGGTCTGAAGGCAACCATATGCTCCTGCAGAGGACAACAGATCTCATTAGAGAATGGATTGCAACATCCCCCGGCAGTCTAGTTCGCCTGTATGACTGTGTTTTCGTTTCCGTTAATGTATCCTGACGCCTTTCTGTGTTCTTGTCACAGCTAATGACTGTGCAGATTGTTATGGTTTTCCACCTGATTGCAGCTGTGAGGATTATCTATTTTGCAAGAGCCAGGGTTGTGACACTGGAGAGTGCCAACCTGATTGCTCAGGTACGTACTTTGAAACAAATACTTTATTACAAGTTAAACCAATGCAAGTTCTGCCGACGGTTTCAATTGAAATTTCCTGGTTAATTTTCTTATATTTTACTGATGATTTTCACACGATTTAGTTGCTTGCTTGATTCTTAAATGTTTTGACATATTGGAGAGTACAATGCAAAGTTGCATAGCTGCATGATTGTTTGAACAGTTTTGCATTCTATTTCACTCGAGACTTTTAAGTATAGTAAATGGCGAATTTGAAATAAACGCGTTAATTTGACGCTTACTCCAGGAGGAGGAAATTGATGCAAAAAATTTCAACCTTCATAGTTAATGATTTTAAACACACACTTTTTATATACTTCAACGTTTTTGTATCTCAGATAAAAGAAGGAGAATGATGGCTGGACAGTTGTTGAAGAGAAAACGTAAGTTCAATATATTTTTAAATAAGCAATCCAGATTAAAACATAATTCACGAAATTCACTCAATCGTTAGGCGGGAGGGGCCATGCTGCCTTCTGGGATCTCTTCAAATTAAGTGTGGGACCAAAACGTTATTGCATGCTTAAAGGAGCTCAGTCACAGTATTTTGAGTTATCTAGGCCATTTACAAAGTTATCTTTAAATTTAAGGAAACCTGAAAATAATAATTTACTAAAATAGAAAGCACCAAAGAGATAATAATAAACCATAAAGGAACAAGGATGGTTAAGGATGACGAAGAGTAACATGGATTGCAAACGACGAACTTGAAAAATATAGGCTAAACTTTTCAAGATGCGCGAACTGTAAAGTAGCTCCCTTAACATGGTGTTTACTGATGACCGTGACTTGTAAACTCACGTACACGAGTTCTGATTGGTTCACTCATTTATTGCTGATAGATCTGTGCCTTTCAGTGATTGCTTAGGGTTATTACTTAAGTTTTTGTCTTGTTACTCCTTTATACGAAACTCAATATAATTTTTTTTCTTTTCTGTGTGTGTTTTTTTCTTTTTTACAGCTGATGACTGTGCAGATTGTTATGGTTTTCCACCTGATTGCAGCTGTGAGGATTATCTATTTTGCAAGAGCCAGGGTTGTGACACTGGAGAATGCCAACCTGATTGCCCAGGTAGACAAATGCTTTATGACTTTTCTAACCCATTCTCCCTACTGTTCAAATGATATTTTATGCCCAGTTTTTTTTTTTTTCATTTTCATTACACTGCCGATGATTACAAAATTTTGTTATATTAAATGTGATTTATTAATCGTAAAATATTCTTAAAGATAAAATTGAAAATTTGAAATTAAGGCCCTGGGTGCTTCTTAAATAGGAGAATANGGGGGGGGGGGGGACTCCCATATGAAAAGGTCGGAGATGCTCGTCGGAAAACTTGAATTAATCCCCTAAAGGAAACCAATCCGGGCGTGGTTGAACTTCATTTGACCCCTACAAAATACCACTTAACGCGGAATAGGCTCGATTACAGGCGGCTGTTCAGGAAAGGAGCCCGCGCTAGCAGACTGGACTTGAGAGCCCAGCCGAAAATTGAGCCTAAAAACGGAAACAAGAGTGCCCTACTATCAGTTTTTTCTTCGAGTGCAACCTAAAAGATATTCTGACAGTTAAAAATAGTTGTGTTTCGCCATGAATACCCTGAGTGAGACCAGAATCCTCGACTTATACCCTTGTTGAGACGACGAGCATCCTCGACCTTTTCGTATGGGAGAATCCTCCCCAGGGTTTTCTGAGTCTGTGTTAAATCATTTTTGCTCACTGTTTTAGTCGTTACGTTTTCCTTTCTATTGTAACTAACCGATTCTTCCAAAGTGCTTCAAACCGAAAACACCATATTAGTCAATCACATGCGCATATATATTGAGTATCTTTCCCCAACAACTAATAGCTTAAGAGATCGTTGTCATACATTTATCTCGCTATTTCTTGTTGCTAACCAAGTCTTTCAGTATGCTTAAGTTATCCCTGAAATCATCCAATAGAACATCTACCGGCGCCACTAAGGTTTTAACCTTAAAATACTTAAAGGTATTACAAGAAGATATTTCTGGCCGTACCGGTCGAAGTCTAAGTTAAAACAAGTGAAAACATAGTAAAATCACGACTTAACTGTCCACGAAGCTGTCTACAAGAGACACTGTACCCAGTTTAATATAAACGTCCTGAATTAAAAATGGATCGAGATATCCTTGAGTTTTTTAGGTAATGCATTTTAATTTCTAGCAATTGCAGGATCGACTAAAACTGAGCAAATTCATAACTATAAATGTCAAGACAGAGCCTCGATGTCCTAAAATGGACGGAACAAAATATGTCAGTTCCATTAACAGTAACCAAGGATCACGTGTGAAATCACGGAACTTCAAAAAAGCTTTTTCCTAAAACACAAAAATGATCGAACGTAAAATACTGAAGCGTGCACGAATGGGAACTGACTATGTATCAGTCAAGTAGCTACAGAAATATTGTTTTCATTGGAAGTCCTACTTAAGCTAAGGTATATAATCAATTAACAGCGTTTTAACTTATAGTTTTGTTTGACATGTTTGATAATCATAGAAGTTTCAACAAGTTATGGCACTGAGAGCAGTCTTGAAAAGATCAAATTCCACAATTTCTTATTTTGTGCATAATGAACTGCAATTCTTCTTGTGACATATCTATTAGAATCCGACCTGTCTTTCCCAATTCGACTTGAATAATTCATATATAAATATCGTTGAATATTCTTGAACACTCTAACGCTCCATGCGTCTTGAATCCTCTTGGATTCTACGACGTCACGATTGTATATTATATCATCCTCTCTTGCCTAGAGCCTCTCATTTGACGTGCCAGGTCCCTCGCCGGTTTGAGAGCCTGTTGGAGGGCTAGTTAGCAGTGAGTGTGGTGGGTTTTCTTCAAACGTTTGGAGTTGGTGGAGGGAAAAATTTCCTATTCAAGTATAACTGAGCTCGATTACAGACAAAAAAAATGTGCTGAGGTGATCAGAGGGGGGAGAACTTTAAAGTAGGGCAAAGCTTCTCTGAAAATGGCGTCCCTCACTGTGATTGCTATGGAATGATATGACCCCACCCCAGGACTCTGGCAACTGACCGCTAAAAAGAGTGTGTCCCGCTCAATATAGGTTTAGCTATATATTTTACCGTTTGATAATATCCTCGGCTGATTCTAAACAGGTTTCTTTTTGTCGCTTTTCTTTTTCAGGTAAACGAAACATAATGATGTCTAGAGCTTGGTTCAAGAAAGAAGGCAAGTATCAATGTTAAATACGCGATACAGGTTAAAACAAAGGTAACAGTGCAGCTACTTGACACGACAATGCTATACAGATTGGCAGCGCGGACTTGGATCGAAATAACTCCCTAAATACAAGAAAAGGAACTAAAGAAAAGCCATACATTTATTTGCGCTTGACTGTCGTTCGAGAGAGCGGCACGTATACATGACAGATTTGACGCAATTATACGGATTACTTTATACAATGCCGTAGAAAATACAGCCAATCAGAATACAGGAAAGCCGTTGTATAAAGGCTCGTGTGCATACCGGGAAAATACAACTGAGTCGTGGGATATCCCATGGTATGTCACCCGAAAGCGTTGTATAACTAGCATATACACGATTGTAGTTGTATATGGATCATTGACCAAGCTTTGAGATTTTTTCCAGTCAAGATGGCTGTAGATATCACGGGCCAAGTTGATTTCAAGCCACTCAGAGAGCAAGCCATACAATAAAAGGCCATATTAGTTTAAATTATCGCTGAGGGCCTTCGAAACCTAAATCACAATAGAAAACTCCAGCTTATAATCTAAATGTTAAATTACTTGAATGGCAGATGCTGATCTGAATTCATCGAGAAACGCAAAGAAAAATTTTACTTTTTGACCGTTGATGTTTTTCACCTCAATGGCGGAAAATCCTTTATTTTTTATGTGTGTTTGTTCTATTTTTTTGTCTTTCTTTTCACAGGTGCACCACGTTGCTCCGACTGATGATACTTTACCTTGGTAAGCTATTATCTCGAGGGCTTAAGGATATTTTTGTGCTTGGAAAAAACCACAACAGCAACCAAACAAAATCAAAACCAAAACAACAACAACAACAAATTAACCTCAAACGTGTCATGAAATATAGAGACATCTTCCTTATCTGTACATTTGTTCAAGTCAAAATGGTCGAGCTCGTTTGCAAAATACTACATGTGCACATGTACCATCAGACAACCCGTATATACCGTAAGAGCTCCATTGACCCCTTCCCTCTGACTTTAGTTGTTGGAAACGCCCACGCTCTCCAGCCCCACGATGACGAAAACGATGGCGTCACGATAATCATGTGATTTCCCTGACTGAGGTTTCCTCAAACACGCATCCAAAATGACCAGTGATTTTTGCGTTTTTAAATTTCTCTGATCCTAACACGGCATTTTTGGCAGGGGCTACATCGCGATTTAAAATGATCTAATGATAACAACTGATGGGTTGTCTTATTGTGCAAAGAGATTAGCTGTTACCACCAAAATATTGTTCCCAGACTTTTCTCCTAAATTGAAATTCAAGATGGTACGCTCCGCTGAGTTGCCCATCAACTGAACCTTTTTTAAAATTAAAATTTTGAGCCACAAACTCGGTGACTCAGATTTAAGAAAATCGTTAAAATCCAAGATGACCAGTGATTTTTGCTTTTTTAAATTTCTCTGATCCTAACACGGCATTTTTGGCAGGGGCTACATCGCGATTTAAAATGATTTAATGATAACAACTGATGGGTTGTCTTATTGTGCAAAGAGATTAGCTCCCGGCGTGATCAATCGATGACAATCGATCATCGGAAACCAATCGATCAATCGAATCTTTTTTAAAATTAAATTTGAGCCACAAACTCGGTGACTCAGATTTAAGAAAATTGTTACTTATAAGATACAAGTTGCTTTAAACCTTAACGGCATTTCTTCTTTTTTTCCTCTCAGCTGCTAAAGTACATCACCTTGGAGAGATGTCTTTTGTTCAAGTAATGCTCTTGCTACGTTCAACTTTCTCAGTTTAAGCTAAAGTTTATATTGCACAAGAGTGGTCATGCTAGATAAGCGAATATTTAACCTTTATATAGCCTTTTCAATTGCCTTTTTAAACTTAGTTTTCAACTTTTTTTCTCAGTAAGAAGATGTTAATGCAGAATTCCATGTAAAACCAGGTTTGCTGAATTAGAGCTCTCCTGTGAAAGTAATTGGGCTGAATATGTAAAATAGTGATAATTTGTAGCCTTAATTGATTAATGTAGATTCATAATTTTTTCAAGGAAGAATAAACGTTTTGCTTTGACCAGAAGTGTCAGAAGTTTGTCTCGTAATGTGTTTTTCATTTCATTTCAATGACAATTGAACTACAATTGTATAAACTATGTTATCGATCAGTCGTAGCCAGGTGAATTGTAGCTAACAAAAGGAATTCTTTGCCCTCTGTTTTTGTTCAATTTTTTTGGCGTTGACCTTGCACAAGTAGGTTTTGCTCAGTGTCCGAGCAATAACAATATATAACCTGGGAAAGTCAGATGGTAAGGTAATTCTTAGGGCGAAACGAAAGATTGTGCTCTTAAAAATTGGAGAGCTGTGTTCTTTATTTATATTTTCTTGATTTTATCCACCGATTGGTTTTCAATTTAATGTTTTATTGAGGGACAATGAAACTCACCTATATCAATACAAAGATTAGCCTGAATCACAGCCATCTATTCGATTTGTGCTAAAATTCATGCTATGCTGAAATAACAAAGGGCAAAGTTTTCCTGACAAGTGGCAAGACCATATCTTACTCTCTCTCCCCCCTGAAACAGACAAAGTTCTTCGAGGGTCTGAAATAGGGTTTGCAAATTCTGCTTCCCACCACCAATTTCGCCATCCCGCTTACTTCGGACGAGTCATCCCGATCCCCCACGTTCCGAAGTGTTATTAAACCGTGACAAGACGATGTGTTTCCCTGATGAGACACCGGGTTGTCGGTTTAATTTTGATGGTTTCTATAGAAAAATCGACAAGCCTGCGACTAGACTGCGAGCGGAAAAAGAGAAAAGAGACGCTCACAGTCTAGCCTGCGATAGAAGTCGGACTGCAAATTGAAAGAGTTGCCAAAAGAGCCAAAATAGAAAAGTTGAGAGTTACCATATGTTGCCTATGTTGTTAACCTAATTTTGATTGTCTTACACCCCGTTTCCCGCACGAAAATAAACAATATTTCCGCACGTCCCGCCAACTTCCCGACTCCAGCCGACCCCTTGTGATCCCGCATCCCGCCTTCAAACTTCCTTCCATCCCGCATGTATCCCGGCAACCCTATGAAAACGGTGGCCCATCGCCGATTTCCGAAAACCACATCACGGATCTCTTTACGAGCTTTTTACCACATGCACTACATTATTTTAGCAAGAAGCCACGGTCCACTAAGGTTTGCGTGATCACTGTTGAAGGTAATTTCAGATGCCTTGACACATTGCAAAGTACCAATTTATAATTTTGATTGATTAAACTACTGACGTCTGTTTGCCACATCCTTCCTGTTTCGACTGTCTAGTGAGGGCTTCCCATGCCCGGGGGTTTTGGAGAACAAGGGAACGTGATCACTGATTTCAAGGGAACAAGGGATATTTTGGAACAAGCGATATCTCTGCCTTTAAAGGGAACTTTGAAAAAACGTACAAGGAACAATGGAATTTATTAACTGGGGACAAGGGGAAAAAAAAAGAATTTTTCAAGGGACTTGAAGGGAACTTGAAGGGAACTCTTCCCCCCCTGCTGGGAGCCCTTCTCTAGTCTGCGACCATTAGACAATGGAGAGCGTTTTGCTCTAGAGAAACAGTAAGAAGAACACCTGATGGCATGTTTAATACGGATAGACAGAAAATTGAATCAGTATCCAGGCAACAACTTATCGCTTAAAAATTTCAGCAAATGGTGTGATCTTGTGGCCTGACATGGCGTGTTCACTTAACAAAAATTCGATTATGTATGTTTTTAAAAGGGAAACGCCAAATGTTTAGTCTTCTAAAATTTTGACGTTATTGTAGAATAACAACGGTGTCCTAGCATGCGGTTTGTCGGTAGGAAAACAGATTTCGATCTGTCCCCTACTAAAACTGAAATGGGCTTCTCCCACTACCCCCATTCACAAAGAACTGAACTTTTGAACACAATCGCAAGTTCGTGGATCAAAAGCGAAATAAAAACGCTTTTAGTAAGAAACTCCATTGGTGATTAAATGATCAAATCTCCGTTGAACGAATCGAAGCACGAATCGCGAAAAAAATACAGCAGTGATCAAAAGATCAAATCTCTATAGAACGAATCGGATCATTTCTGTGTCCAAAGATTCCCATTGTGAAAATAGATTAACAAGGTGCTTTAGCCGTTGTTTTTATTTTCAGATTATTTGCAATCATTTTTTCTCTTAACTTTTAGCTCGGGAGGTGCATTTAGAGGACATTAAAACACTTTGAGTTGTTTTGTAAACAAACGCACGACTGTTATGTTTGAGCGCGCCGCAATGAATTTCAAATGAGCCGAGCTAGCTGTTGTCAGCGGATCACAAACATGGCGGATCAAGAGGACGATGACTCCGAGTTTGAACGGCAAGGAAGCTTGGAACGGGAGAGTGTAAGCACTGAGAGTAGTTACGACGAAAGCCCGTTAAGTCCAAGAAGTGAAGATTCGGACTGGGGCTTCGGTGCGAATAAAAATGCCGGTTTAGCGCACGTCTTCGACCCTGAGAAACAACGTAACGAGTTGATTAATGCCGAGAAAAAAGCTTCCATCGTTGACTGCCTTTTGTTTGAAATTTACGACCAGTATCACAGCAGAGACTCTGTGGACAGTGATAATGTTACCGAGTGTTCCACCACATCGGGAAGCTTCTACGGTGGTTCTTTCGACCTTGAGGAACGCGGAGAAAGTTGGACAAGAAATGAACTCTTAGGCAAAGGTTAGCACACGCGCAACGGAACGAAGTTCGTACTGTAAGCCTTTAGGCTTAAATTCAGTAGAATTATCAACAAATGCACAAAGTTCGAATACTTATTCTCGGTTATTGGTAATCTTCTTGCTGTGTGAGACCAAAATTAATAAGTCAAGCGAATGTTTTCATTTTGCAAAATGTACGCGGAAAGTTACAATTGATCATGATTTTCTTCCAGCAAAATGGCGCGCGTAGTTTTAGTAGTATAATAAGGTTATATACTAGTTCAAAGTTATTTTAGGGGTGATAACCTCAAAAGCAGAGCGTATTTTCTAAAACCTTTTTTACTCTTGTATATTTTCCAAAAACAGTCAGCATTAGTACAGGTGATGTTTTTCAATTTGGTTATTTATTGAACTCGTGTGTTCTGTTCATGATCACACACAGATACAGATGAGCTGAGAGTCATTGCGAAAGAGATGCGAACGAGAATATCCATGTTGTCGACAAAATTAGTCAAACAGCTGAAGAGAAGGGACAAACACGCTTACAAACTGCAAAGAAACTTCGATGTTTTAACGGCGATTCTCCAAGCGGTTTCGCTGAAAAGACGTAAGTACTAATAAAAATAGAATCTCGACTCCCACACACGAATCACGTCACATTGGGAAATTTTAATTTCTTCGATTTCTTTAATAAGCTAACTTGTTTGTGCTAGTTTCAAATCAAAATCCCTATGAAATAGAAACCATTGGAAATCATAGAATTCCAAGGGACGGGATCTCTCTGTGGTAAATTAATTAATTTCAACCCAATTTTTCAGCTCAGACCTCAATACTATTAACAATGATTTCTATATGTAACCTTACGACAAAGGTCGCTGTTTGCTTCTAATAGCCGAGGCTGGGATTAAATTAGAATCACTTTCATTGCAGCCGGGGGAGTTCTTTTTGTAAAGATTTAAAATTTAAAAAGTATTTTTAAACACCTTACAACAGCGTGGTACCTCTAAACAACTCAGCATTTATTTTCCAGTGCGTACATCTGTGTAGATTCGAGCTCCAAATAGATCGTTGAATCGTTCGAAAATCTATTGTAATGCAAATTGCTTGACACGTCTTAATTTTGTCTGCAACATGCAAAGTTATTCTGTGATCAATCACTTTTAGCTTCTGTAAACGGTCTAGTTGACAAGCCTTGAAATTTTACAAGTTTTGTATGTGACCATTGTCAAATGGGAGTAAACCTTTCGCATTGTCATATTGTTCCTGCTGAGTATGTTTTAAGTGGGTCATTTTGTCCAAAACTGTTGCCCTGTGAGGTGTGAAGATTAATTGTAAATATTTCAATTATGGACACAGTCCTGATGTAACCAAGAAACAGTGTCTTTAATGTCACACAGTTTTCACTGTAAATGCTCCAAATTGGCAACATCCTTTGTTCTGAAGAAACTGAGAGATAGATTTGTTAATGTAAATGCAAATTTTACGTATTGCAAGTGACAACCTAATTAAGATGGATTGCTAATCAACGTGCAGACATTTTTGACAGGCCAGTCTTTTCCTTACAAGCTGTCAGATGCAGGATGTAATGCATACAGAAGCAACTTTTTTATACACACTTTTGTGTTTGAAACCAACGGCTTGTGGGATTGTGTTTAAATTTCAAAACAGTTTCATGGGCGATCTTAGTTGAGCAATTGAGGGGGTGCATGGAAAAAGACCCTACAGCTGTATAATTATGTAAGTGACCTCTGATAGACTGCAATGTTCTCCCAGCAAATTGCTTTTCATTTCTTGCTATGAAAAAAGGAGAATTTGACATGAGATCAAGAGTCACTTAGAGCTTTTTCGCACGCACCCCTTCAACTTGTAAAAGAAAGTTGCTGTTGTGAACGTCATTTATCTTTGGAAGGCAAGTCATCTAGATTTTAATGATCTTTTTTAGAAATTTTTATTAATTCTAAATATGTACTAGTTTTACCTAACTTTTTGTACTTGTGTATTGATGAAGGGCGCCGTACTTTCACAATGTAGTTCAGGGGTATTTCTGTCTATCAAAACATTCCTGATCTTACCAAGGAACTGTTTGCTCCAAATTGGCAACATATGTTGTTATTACAAAACTGATATGTAGATTGGTTAAATGTGAAATGCAAATTTTACATGTTGCAAGTGACAACCATATGAATTAAGACAAGATGGATTGCTACATGTAATCAAGGTGGAGACAATCTTTTCCATACAATATGTCGCAATGCATGATGTACATGTAACGCATTTAAAGAAGCAACCTTTTTTGTACACACTTTTGTGTTTCGAGCCAGAGGCTTTTAGGATTTTGTTAATAAATACATTCATGTACTTTAAAAATCAAAAAAGGGTTTGAAACCCTATCTATGAGGACTCTTGTTTGAGCATTTTGTAAAAGGAAGTTGCTGATTTTAATACCCTTTGTCTTTTGATGCTACATCAAGTAAATTCAAACGATTCTCAATTACTATTGTTTTCCAGATATAACTGAAGGGTTTCGTGCAAAAGGGGCGTATGTGACATTTTGGGCTGATTTGTATTTTTTGCAGGATCGAGCTAATTGTTGGCAGACTGACTTGTTTTGACATGAAAAGCATTGCTGCGTAATTGTTTTTGTTGATTTGCGCTTTGTTTTTGAGAAATAACATGTCACGACGAAACAAACTCGCATCCGGCCAGTTCAGCGCCTTATTCGCTTGCGCTAACAAAGCAACAGTGAGAGAATTGCGTAATTATATGAATTATAAAACTAGCGGCAAATACCACGCTTCGATGACTTCATCATTTAGCAAAACAAAGGTTTCTTTTGTTTTTCTAAAGATTAAACATTCATGTGCGATGTATTCTCAATAAGCTTTAGGTTATACAGTGTATATGGTACTTGTTTAAATTCATGACTGATTGATTGATTGATTCTCATAATAGATTGTCACTGGTTTTATTGGCAGTGGATTAAAATACATTGTTTCTCATTTCTTTTAGGAGTGGATACAAAAATCAGATTTTCCTTCATCCCTCAAAGTGGAAAGAAGGCCTTTAAACAGGTAAGATGGCTTTTTCGATTGGTTGTTCAATGACATGCCTGATCACTTGTTGCATTGTTTTTGTGACTCACCCTTCGTAGCTCTTTTTATTCAGACATGGTTGCCTCAAACTGTCACTCAGATTTCAAAGCAGTTCATTTCCTTTTAAATTAACTTATGATGTTATCTTTACTTGTGAATCTTTAAAGACATTTGCACGTATAGGCCACTGTCTACCAGTGGCCTACATGTACAATGTACCTTGAGTTCATTATCTTAGTTTCCTTCATACTGTTCCTTCAGGAATGAAGGTAGGCTTGATTTCTGCTGCTCTCTCAAGTCAGGAAACATTCCTTCCTGAGAAGAGACAGCTGGACACATGAGCAACCAAGCATGTCTGTGATGTAATTTTATAAGACATGCTGTATTCTGGGGAGGTTGTCTCATAGATATCAGAACTTTCGCCAGATTACTTTCCTTGCTTTCCGCCATTATTGAAATACTTTCGTGTGCTGCATGTGACTTATAACAATAGAGGACCACATGCAGCTCTCTTATGATTGGCTACTATAAAAATACCCGCGAAAACCCCCGTGGAAGGTGCCTCTAAAAATAAAAAGATATGGGACAGAGTTGACTCAGAGGGTCAGTATGGAAGATGGAAGCTCCAGGTAATGGCCTCCTGGTATTGAAAATCAAACTAGTCCACATGACCGTATGCAACATTGTTGCACAAACCAGCCCAAACGACTGCAACATCATGCAACATCCACAAATGTTGCACACGAAATTTGACAATTTTCAAATTTGAGCCAACAACACCCAACATGTCGCAACACGTCACAACAGGGTGGCCAAATGCATGCAACATGCTGCGCCTAACCATGTTGTGATATGTTACGTTGAAATGTTGCAGTCGTTTGACCGGGGCTTCAAAGAGACTACAAAAATCGCCATTTACAAGACTCACCACTGCTGTCAACTTGAGTAAGACATTTTTAATTCATCAGAAGCGTTGTCACTGCAATGCCAATCTACAAAGAGATTAATGAAACAACATTATGAGTAATTAATGAATAAGCTGTTAGAAAAACAAACAAACAAATAACAAACATTACTAAGTTGCCACAGTCTGAACCATAAGCCTTCCTGATCTTATATCAGAGATCCCTACTCCTATATGCCCCGACTCCTTCACAGCCGTTTTTAGACCGTCGCGCAAAGCTTCGCTCCCCGTTGCGTGACAATTCAGGACAAAGGTCACATCAGGTGCATAACCAAACTGGTCACGCAAACTGCTCGTTCTAGCTCCTATCAGTGTTGTGCGAGGCTAAAATGTAATCTTTCACCATTCAATGTCAACACACTGTTAAGCTGACGGGTGATGAAAATAAAGAAACTCATCAACAAGGAGATATTGTCTAGTTGAACCTTTAAATTCTCATAACCGTCATTAAAAGAAAAGTATGAAAAATAATCGGAAGAATGAAATTTTTGAGATTGCGACTGAAAAAGTTAACTTACCAGAAATGATTGTGTAATGGTCTAACCAATCTGAGCTTTATCGTCACAGTCTTTTTTTTCCTCTAGAAGAAAAATGATCGGAAAGTATTAACAAAAGTAATCAAATGAATTATTTAAACTTGTTTTGGCATTAATTATGTATGAAGTTCGCG